TATTAAAAACAGGCAGATGTCTCATAAGGATGATTACGACAGCACTCTTGACCTTTCTGTAAGAATAGGAATAGGAGCAAAAGAAAAACAATAATCAGTTTTGATTTATCTTGAAAGTGCTCTTCCTTTTTTCAGGCATGAAGTTGCTGTTGTAGAGAAGTGATGGGGGTCACTGTCACCTTTCCCCATCACATCACTGGACATTCACCAGCTGCTTGGGTCTCAGTCTGTGAGTGAATTGACAGACTCCACTGGAAACACCTCCCCTGGATTACCTGTGGGAGCATGGGTCACTGCCTCCCTTAGCTATCTTCCAGCTCAGCCCTGTGTTTGGTTTTGGTTTTGGTTTGGGTTGGGTTTTTTTGCTTTGTTTTGCTTTATTCTATTTTGTTTTTCTTTGCTTTGCAGAGCTGGCTGCTGTGGGTTTGGCAGTGGGAAGGGGTGCCCTGGTGCAGGCTCCTTGCCTCAGCATCACTGCCAAGAGCAGCTCAGGGGCACCAGCTCAGCGTGGCCCCCCTCAGAGAGCCCTTTTTGTCTCCTGACAGCCTTGGTTGTGTTACTTGTTAATGTCCCAGCATGCCCATGCAAAGAGCAATTAGCCTAAAACCCATATGGTAATGGAAAGTAATAACACTAATCAAAATAAATTATGGGAGCATTAGATTTTGAAATTATGAGCTTTATAAACTACAGCCATGACCACTAAAGATAACCTGATGGTGTATCCAAGGAATCAAAGTCCTGTTTCTAGATTCTGTCTCAGGCAGTACATGTATCACTTTTACAACACAAAGCTATTTAATCCTTAACCCAGAAGATTTAAACAGCTTCATCACAGTTTTTTGTTGGAAGCTCAGAGCAATTTTGAGAATGACCACTGAGGTCTGACCAAAAAATATTAGAGAATTTCTTGGGAATTTTATGGTAACATTATTTCCAGTAATAGAACCTTTATTTTTGTGCCTGGACATTGAGGGAAACTCTCAATAGCTGAGCTAATCTCTTCTGGTATGCACATTTCTGGCTAGAGCCAGCTGTGTACAGATACCTTCTAACATTAGAGTCAGAGTTGTGTCTTTATGCTGAGTCTTCAAAACAAATTTAGTCAAAAAAAAGCAGGTGTAAGATTTTTTTGTGATGCTGAACAGTTTGATCTGAAAGCACTTTTTGGTTAATTTGTTTTTAATAAGTTGGATCCATCTACCCACTACAGGGCTGAAATGGGTTTATTTGCTCATTGTATTTATTTAAGCCTGGTGCCATTGGGAATAGGAGAAGGTGATAACCCTCTAAAAGTAAACCTAACCAACATTTGTACTTCATAAATTTTAAGGCCAAGAGATAAAAGGCATTGTACTCATGTGGATTTTCCAGAGCCAGAGCATTTTCTTTACTTATTCAAGTCTTATACTGAGTCCAATCTCTTTAGCTGAATTTAGACCTCTTAAAGTAAAAATAAAAAGGCTACCTTAAACTAAGTTTTTTGTTTAAATACTCAACCAGAAATGACAGACTATGGTAATGACTAATTATCCTTAATGATTATAATTACCCTATTTCTAATCTAAATATGTTTGTCTCCATTTGTGGTTGAATGCATTCCCGAGTCATTTGCAACCTGTATCAGTTTCACCACCCTATTTTGGGGGCTGAAGAGGGAGGTCACTGTTAAAAACCACATTCTTCCAGCAATGACTTTCCATTTATTTTTAATTTATATTATAGTTTATATTTCCATTTATATTTAAATTTATATTATAGTTAGATTTTGAGACATACCAGTTCTCTGGCTTTTAACTCAATTTATGTGTGCCACACTTACTCTGTGTGTAACTTTATAGTTTCATAACCCCAGCATCACAGAGCACCCTCCGTGGCCAGGCTGGCCAGCCCTCAGCTCTCAGCAGCCCGGTGGGGATGACAAAGGGACTTCTGGCACCCAGGGGTGTCCTCCATTCCCCAGGTACACCTCTGAGGCACAGCAGTCTGTGGCTTGTTTCTTTGCTCAAGGGAAAGGGCACAGTTTGGCTCTGAAATATGATGTGTTTATAATGTGTTTGAAAGAGGTGGTACAAACAAGGAGGCAACCAGGAGAATTGCTCTCCTGAACTTCATCAAAGGTGAAGATGATGAAACAACTGGACACTGACATTGTTATGGGTTGTGTGGGACATCTTCTGCTCAGTGTGTTTTGTAGTGATGTCAGTATCCCCCTGAGGAGCTTTTGGGACCCACGTGTGTGCTTTTCCAGGGAGTGCCTGTGAAATGCACTGCTATCCATGCAAAGTGCCAGAGGGTGCTGCAGGTGCCCTCACCCAGGGTAATTTCTCATCACTGAGAGCTCATTCACAGCTGTGTGCTCAGCCCTTCTCCCCAGGTGCAGGTGATAAGCTGGGATGTGGGAGTCAAGCACAAGATGAAGAGGCTCCCCATCTCCAGGGAAAGCTGTGAGCCCCAGCCCAAGGGAGCTGGCACATCAATGCCTCCCTAGCATCAAGAGCTCAGTGTGGGACTCACTAGGAGGCTCCTCTCTGAAGATGTGGCTCTTCCCAGGCATCTTGCTGGTTCTTTGGGAAGTTCCCTTCTCAGCTGACATTCCTAGCTGCACAGAGGAGGCATCTGTGCAGGCCAGGCTCAGCCTTCCCATCGTTATAAGGGGATTAAATGCAGTCCTTCTTCAGAGAATAATTGTGAGGAGAAATGCATTAAGGACATAGAAATGCCAGGGTGTGAGGGCTATGTGAACACATACTGAGAAAGGCAGAAGAGCACATGGAACTGTGAGCTTATTGAAAAAGGAGTGGACATTTCAAAGGAAAACAAGATTAACACTGCATTAATAAGGAGTAGGAAGATAAAGTAATTTTAAAATTTGTGCTTCACCCTGATCCACTAAGGAACAGCCTTTGGTAGCTTCCAGCATGATTTCTTGTGCTTCTTTTTGGGTGCCCAGTCTGGACCAGTGGGGAAAGGAACTGAGCCAGGTGGATTAGGCATCACTTCCACATTAGCAATTCTTATTTTTCTGTCATTAATGACTGCATCTAGGAGTAATGTTTACTATTCCATCCCACATATATCTGTTTATTCTCTGTGTAAAAATACCATGACAAACCATCAAGGACTACATGGCATACAGACATGTGACAAGCCTGGCTTTATATCCTGTCTCTGCCATTTGTCAGTCTCATTTACTGTGCTGAAGAGCAGCTCAGTCTCACCACCATTTTGCTTTCTAACTAGGTTGGTTGATCCTGCCTTTGAAGAAGAACAAGGGCTAGAGAAGGATAGCCTCACTTCTCCCACCTTCTGTGCTCTCATCAAATTTTACACGGCACCTGCTGATCAATGTTTTTCCTTTTACTTCACTGCTCCCTTTTGTGTTTTTCAGGACAGCACCAGAAGGGTAGAGTTGACCTTGACACTGCCTGCTCCTTCATGCAAACATTTTGTCATCTTTGACATGCATGCTGTTCTGGAATCTAACAACATTGAAAAGTTCCAGAGAATATTAAAATCATTAGATTTATCAAAACACAGTAAATAGTTCCATCACCCACTGAAAGCAGATTTCCTCAACTGACATAGTAATAAAGTAGAAATTCAGTTGCTGGGGCACTCTAGAAGTGAACATTGTCAAAGAGGAAGCTGGGAACCACTCGTTGTCAAGCTGTTTGGTTTATTACTTTAATTGCTTCTTATGGTTCTTCACCTAGTCTTTTCCTAAAGTGCTGCTGTAGATTCCTTGGGGTAAATGTTGCCAACTCCTCTATACATCTCGCAATTGGAAAAAAGAAGTTTTCTCGGGAATTGTGTCATTCATTGTTTAATCTATTGAGTGATAATCTAAGGGTATGTGTATCTTTTCCTCAGAGGAGACAGAGCAGGTGTCACATCACAATAAATTATACTGGACTGATGATATATTTTAACTTGTGCAGCTATTTGTGATGTGTGCTGGACATTCAGAATATCAAATTAAACAATGAGACTCATAAAAGAGCCTTTTGCTATATTTCATTCTCTCATCTACTTAGTTGAGAATGTAGATAAAGACAGTCCCATCAACTGATTCATTATTAAATGCTACTTAAGGTGACCAAAATTCTCATGGAATTTATGTGGTTGCAGATGCTGTGCTTAGGCTCTCTCCTCCCCCTGCAAACTGATACTGCTCTAGGCATTGGCTGTTACTCACTGTCCTTCAGGAAATGTGCCCCCTCAAAGCTTGGGAAAAGGAACATAGCCCTGAAGGAAAATATTTTAACTAAATGTCACCAGATACAAAATATTTCTTGTTTTGAGTGGTACTTAAATAGACAATTCTAACGCTAAATATAATAAGAAAAATATAATAATATAATAATAAAATATAATAATAATAGCTTATATTTCCAAGTTTTCTTAACATATCTTGACAACAGGGCTTAGAATTCAAAGGTAGTGTAAAGGAAAATAAGATTGTCAACTATAATACTCTAAAATCAGTTAGTAAATGTAATAGAACTCATATTCTTTTAAAACAAATCCCCCTTCCTCATGCCAAGCTTACAGTGATATTAGCTACAATACAGATTGGTAGGCACTGCTTTGGCTCCCAACTAACCTCCCCTAATGGGGTTTGAAAACGTGCTCTTATCAGCATAATATCCCTCTCTAAAATTAAATCTGATGCAGCTGGAGATGGTGAATACAGAGGAAGAAGATGTTTCCCTCGGGTAGCATAGCTGAGTCTTTCTCCTTCATGCTGAGTACCAGGTTGTAGACAACACTGACACAGAGAACTTGGTCACCTGGGGACTCTGATAAGAAATATTTAGTACCAATAAGAGAAATTGATTGCTTGGGGAAAAGAAAGAAATGGGTCCTAAATGTGAAATAACATCTTTGCATGTATCTGTGATCCTTGTGTAGCGCTGTTGCGCAAGTAACTGAAGCGTATTTGATAATACCCTGTTGATTTGGGAGAATTAATGTATTTTTCCACTCTCTTTTTACAGCTCCCAAGTCTACCTTTTGTCCTACTGAAGAGACCTGGTGGCCAGGCCTGGTTATTATCATTGCAGTATGCTGCACCACACTAGTGTTCCTCTTTGTAGTTGTCATCATTTGCTACAAAGCCATAAAAAGGTAAGGCTCCAGAAGATTTTATTGTGCTTAGGGCAATGCAGCCCCACAGAGGCTGACCCAAGACTTGTCTCATGATATCATATTTAGTTTAAAGTCATCCAAAAAGCAAAATGCGTGCCGTAGTCAGTGTGTGTTTTCATTGGAAAGTCACTTCATGTACCGTATCCTGCATGTGTAAAGGGTGTAGTTCAATGCAGTCATGGGCAGAAGGAAGAGAAAAACTAGAAACAGAACAGAGCTACATTGTTCAGACTAATAAGAACTTGCCCAAAGTCAAATTGCTGCAGGGTCTTGGTGAATGTGGAGAGTTTTGGCTTGGCCCAGTGTAGAGGTAGGAAACACTGTACTGCTTGTATTTGAACAGCACTTCTGGTAATGTTCAAAATTTACATGTGGGATGTCAGATTCTTTGCCCAGGTCCATTTCTAATTTTAGCATTTCAAATTAATGTAAACCCTTATAACTCTAAGTCTACGGTAATATGTGTAGTTTTTCATTTGGAAACCATACTTCTAATTTATTCTTGTTTCAAAATTTTAACCTACAGATGAAATTCAAAACCTTTCAAGTGCTGATTTCGAAGAGAAAGTAATTTGTGGAAATTGTAGGCCAGATGGATAGAGGTTCATTTCTCCTCTGTTTTTTATAGTATGGCTCTGACAACATCCCACAGCTGAGTGTTTGTGGGGTCACTCTTTTATACTGTAAGGGTCTTGGCTGGGAGCTATTAGTATATCCAGGTGACCCAGCCTGCAGCAGAGAATGCAGGATTCCCATCCAAAGCTCTCTTGAGACACTGCAGTGACATCTGAATTTCAACTTGGAATACATGACAGTTTTTTTCAACTTCATGTTTTCTGAGTGATAATATTTTGGAGTGATGGAAAAAGGAAAATAAATGAAAACACTTTTCATGGAAAATATTATGTGCATGCAATGTGATTGCAAGATTTTTGTTGAGCCTCAGTGGGGATGTCACAATGGTGGAGCATTGGACATGATTTGTGGTTGTTGAAAAATTTATGCAGGATTTGAAAGAGCATCAAAAAGGGAGAATTCCACCAAGAGAAAGTCTCTATTTTAGTTCTTATTAAATTTACATAAGTATTTTTGCTACTCTAGTTTAGCTAAAATGAATGTTTATTATTTTGGGGGAGCTGGAAAGCTTTCACTCTAGCAACTGCACTTCAAAAAATTATCTTTGAGGGACTGAGATTGGTATCCAATTGAATTGGTAGCACAGTGCAAAGTCTCACACTTGTAGTTCCTGGTCTACCATTGCTGCTCATTTGTATTGGTCAACCCACTGCCAAATTGTGAATGATTCGTGTCAAGGCTGCAAAATATTTGTATGAGAGCAGTAACTCTCTAGGGCAACTTGTGCCTCACAAGGAATTGCTTTTCAAATCTGCTGTGATGCTGGTAGATATAAGCAATAGATGGGAGGAACAGAAATTAAATTAAAAGAGACAAATTTAGAGCTGCCTTGCAAAGGTTTGGGGAATTCACATACAGTCTCATGCTTCGTTTCAGTGCAAAATAATACCAATACTTGATGAAGACACCCATTATTTGTCAACAGTATGAATATCAACCTACCAGTCAGCTGCTTGAACAGGCATTAGGCACAGAGAAGAGTGGAAATTCCTCTTAGATCTTCTTATTTTTGACATTCACACTGCTGACAAATGCTAAGCTGAAAACTGTTCAGATGTGGAATGGACAGCTATGAAAGAAAATCGTATTAATTATAATTTTACAGGGTAACTAGAGCATTTCTTTTCATCAATGAGTCCTTGCTAAGACAGTTCTGCTAAAAGAATGCCCTAGAGGGCCTGGCAGCATTCCCCAGTAGTTCAGGTTTCTTGATCCACTGTAAAAGATATCTCTCAATAAATGCTGGGTTATAGGATCAGACACTTCACACGAAAAGCATCTCTGGCTTCAACACGGTATTATTACATATTGTTGAGCTGAATTTGCTTTAGCTAATGTGAGAAATCCTTCACTCTGTTTTTTGCTGGAAGGTAGAAGTGACTAGAGAAAGAGTAAGGGGATTAATCTGGGTGATGCTGAAGCCAAGAGTTCCTCCAGTGTGTTCCCAGCATTGGGCTCCATAACCATGCTCTGCCCTGTCCCTTCTCATACCTCATCCCACCAGCTCTCCTCTGCCCTCCTCCTCCTGGGCCCTCCTTCCTGCACATCTTCTGGAACTGGGACTTCTGTCACCGCAGCACCTCCGACAAATCTGTCTCCTACCTCCACTGGAGAGGTGCTGAAGAGTGAAGTAATAGCAGTCCTCTGGCTGTAGGGTATAACAAGGGTTAAATGCTTTAGTAGGGAAGTGCAGGCAGGGATTTATTTCCATTGAGTCTGGCTTTGTAGTATTAATCCCTCACTTTCATAAGAATCAAATTTGGAGCAAAAAGGAAAAGAAAAATCCTATTGTGCTTAAGTTGAAATCTCATTTACTGGTTTCAAAGGGCCAGACCCAGTCAAACTCTCTTATGTCTGCTTTGCTGTAGCAGGAAGAGAGGTAGTGACCTCAAGGTATCATAACTCAACTGTGTTTTTATTCAATATATATATATATAAACTGTGTCTTCTGGGGTAGTTTGTTTTCCTTCATAAAAGCTAAAACTTCAGTGTATCACCAACTTTAGCCACTAAGGCAATTTGTAATTAAATACAGCCTAGCGGATTGGTGCTTCTTTGTATACAATAACTACCAGAACCAAGCAAGTATGCTACTGCCTCCATCCCTGCTTCTACCCTGGAAATACTCAGGTTCTTCCATATGAAATGGTCATAAGAAGTGCTGAAATCCATCCCAGTGATTGGAATTGACCTCTCTGGTCCACGAGGGAACTTTCCATCAAGTTGCTTCCATCAACTTTAATACTCAGTTCAACTCAGAGTTGAACTTTTAGGAAAACACATATGGAGTGATAGTTCAAAGGTGCTTCAAGCAACTTCTAAATTTCCTCTGTGTGCTGCTGGTGACTGCAGCATTGGACACTACATGAGTGGCACCCCAGGTACCGATGTGTGCTGCTGCAGAGGTCAAGCGCCAGGGGAGCCACACCTGCTATTATGTTGTGCTGCAACATAAAGAAAGCCCTCAGTTTGGCAGTGGAGGAATAACTGTTTTCTATGGTCTTGGTGTTAGGGTATTTCCACTTTTTAAAAAATATGTAGTTTTTCTTTTAAGAATCTTTTCCATAGCACATCAGAAAAAAAATAGCAATAGTAAGTCAGCACCATCTGTGACATTTGTAGATTTCTAGGACAGATTCAGTGTAAGCAAGTGTAAGCAGTGTAAGTGGGACTTTCCCATACATTTCATGGATTAAAAAAAGGGATCTCACAACCAGTGATTTCTGTAACACATAGAAAGAGTAGATTAATAACTGCTTCAAAATCTAGAGTGCTTCCAATTCTCTAACATGTCTTTGTCTGTGAAAACCTGCCATTCTCACTCTTTCCCCAAAAGACTGTAATCAAGAAGTAAAAGCTGGAGGTCTAAAGACAATCCATAAACAAACACAGGGTGGAGAAAACCAGATTATTTCAGTATTATGTGATTTTTGGGTTTGGAAAAGTGCACCGTGAATGCCAGCAGTTCTAACAAACCTTCACCTGGTGTAAATCAATGCAGATTCAAAAACAGTCGGTGGAATTCAATTCATTTTAATCAGCTCTGGATGTGACTGTCTCTTAAGCTTTTTTTAACATCGCAATTACCTGAATAATAGTAAGGCACTAAGACTAGAGGGAAGAGGGAAGTAAACACAGTAAAGAGGATTAACGAGAGTTGTTTGGTAAATAAGCAACTGAGATGGGGGAGAGCGGGGACATGCAGTGTGTAATCCTATTGCTGCAGCTCACTGGTGTGTCAGTGTCTGTGAGGGGAGTAAGATATTTACATAAAAGGGAAAAATAAATCCCTGGCTCCCTGTATAAAATTAAGATAAGAGAGCCATCTGTCAAACCTCGAAGGGGAAAGCAAAGCTGAGCATCCTGGTCTTTATGACAAGTGATGTGCCAGCTATTCAACCTGTCAGGGAGTGTTTCAGATGGCTTTCAAACATGTGAAAAATATATGCTCAGAATCTCTGGAACATCCCTATAGTCTGAGATGACCCATGAGCAGGTCACTGTGCCTGGTGATGTGGCTCCTTGGTTCTGCTGAATTTCAGGTAGGATGGATCCATCTGTTCTCGGATGTACTGCAGGGTTTGCTGCCAAAGAGCCCTCCTGCTAGATCAGCAGGGAAAGTGGGCTGATGATAGCCAAGCCCTACATGATATACCTTTTATTCACTGTTCTAACTTTGTGAAGCCACTGTTTTATATGTGTCTCACAGCCTGAGAAAAAGGTACCATAAATGCCTACATAGGCACTTCCTTAGGTAGGTGCTGAGTTCACCTTCAAATAATAATTAAATGGAAGAAAATATTGTACTGAAATAAAATGACAGGTCATATTTAAACTGTCTTAAAATTCATTGCTCAGGTATTTTTAGGGTGCTTAGCATTGTGTATGATTTATGGCCCCTGTATACTGCAAAATCTAGTTTCAGAAGCAGGAACAAGGTTCTGAATTTTGGCTTTGTTTAGCAAGATACTTGCAAGGGGAATACACTGAGACTTTCTTAAGGAGGCTAAGAACCGGCAGTGGGGGTTGTAGTGAGGGTTCCTCCATGGTGCAGGGATTTATGTCCCATTAAAAAGATGATAGCCCTGCACTTTTTCCCCAGTCACTTTTGTATCATTCACTCCCCCAAAGAGAAAGAACTGTGTAGTCCTCTACATGGTCATCTCCTATGAGCCACTGAGACTAAGCATGATCTATTGCAAAATCAGCATTAATTGCAACAAAACAGTGCTGTTTAGCCTGAGCAGAGAAGACAGAATCCTAAATGTACTTAATTGCTTTAAAGAGCAATTCACAGCATGACTGATGACAGACAGGTCAAGGTGAATTGAAATTGTTAATCT